GGCCTGCTCGTATGATGGTAACAACAAAGTTCGTGTCTCACCGATTCTCGATGTCCACGCGTTTCTCATTCTCCGCTTGGAAACGAGCAATTTCGCCATATGCTCTGATGGTGGTCAAACCAGAGAGCGATTCAGAGAAGTGAGAATATAATGACGACCGCAGGATAGCGTCTAAGAGAATTAGATTAGACAAACAAGCAATCTGAAAGAAAGAGTTCACACAGACCAAGCCGCTACACAGAGGGAAGAATTTGTCAATGATTGGTTTATACAGAAAGAACTTATTAAATACCTTGAGCTCCCTAGCACTGGAACGGTAGAACAGCGCGGCGTAGAAGTAACATACAGAAACGGCAGCGACCGCAATGAGGAACCACGGCACAATGACAGATATTAATATGATAGAACCTAGGGCTGAAGAGCCTGTGGCAACCAGCAGTCGCATAGAGTCTGTATGTGTGGTAAGGCTTTAACTACGGTGACATACAAGCAGGGAGACTACATACCTCCGAGCATATTGTCAAGTGTGTCCATGTCTACGTTATCGATTAGTAGGATAATCACCGAGTCTATAAGATATATACCTTTGGTGAATCGGTTCATAATGCGCCCCAGTGGCTAATATGTTTTGTTGAAACAGGGGAAAGAGGTAGATAATAAATAGGTTACTTACTGTCGTCTCAAAAAAGCTCATCGGTGCATACAATACGCGTTTTATAGCTTTCTGGGGGAGCAAGAACGATGAGGGCTGTTGACAGATAAAATCGCTGCACTCACACCATGGAGTGCTTGTGAAGCGTAAATGACAAAAAAAGCAAACGTAGTTCCCATTAAAAAGCTACTCAAGGCTTGAGAAATACCGATGCCAGCATATATGCCCATCTAAAAACTATCAGTCAGCCTCGGTTCCACATCTGACGATTGGGACGCACGTAGAAACCCTGGGATTGTGGCCATTTCCTATTCAAAAATGTAAGTAGACATAAATACGTTCCACGATAACGGACCTTTCTTGCCAGTAAACAAGCCTATGTAAATAATGGGTGAGCAGAGCAATTTATGATCACATGTAAATAGGCTGTGTACCAATATGACGACATAACACTACAGCCTTCCATCAGAATCACAGAAATAAGTAATAGAGGGGCGATTATGAGTCCGTTCCCCGCTCGGAAGAACTCTCCGTAGATAGCACTACCAATAGCACCTGTATTCCTTTCTTCTTCCTTCATTATCGCTTTGCCTGGAACTGCATTTTCAAGACCTTTCGCTTTCCTACCTTCTACTTTTTCCTGGTTATTTGAACCGCTATCGTCGGACTTGTCGCTTGATCCAAACTCACAGACAAACTTGGAGAAAGCGCCATCATTTGCCATGAGCTCGGAATATGTGCCTCGTTCTGCGATACGGCCATCAAGTAGAGTGTATATGTAATCCACTTGGGGGAGAAAATGAAGAGCGTGCGTTACGAGAACACGGGTTTTCCCTTCTAGATTTCCCTTAAGAACATTCTGGAACACGTCTTTTCCAACGTGGGCGTCGAGAGCCGACAAGGGATCCTAAAGGTGATAATTGAACATAATTACATAGGAAAAACTCCGCAGCGCTCACATCAAAAATCTGTATATCAGTGTCGCAATAGATAGAACGACAGATGTTGATTCGTTGTTTTTGTCCGCCAGAAAGTGAAATACCCTTGTGAATTTTTTATTGAACCAATGGTTAGTGCCCCGTTCTAAATTTGCGAAAACGCACGCACCTTTTCGCCAACTTCTGTGAGATCACCATTAGGTAGCATCTCCAAATCAGGTTCCAAGCAGGCATCGCGTATGGCTTTCCAGTATCTCTGTTCCTCGAATGGCCTCCCAAAGCAAATGTTCTCACGAATCGTGGTATTCTATACATGGTCATTATACTGTCAAAGGAGTTGAGGTTATTTTTTCACCTGAATCCAAGCAGTTTGAGCGCAGTATCCAACGGTGCCACCAAACGCAACAGAGCCAGCTGTTGGACGCATCTCACCGACGAGACCTTGCAGCAAGGACGTTTTACCCGCTCCAACTGAGGAAAAGTAATATGTGAGTACTTGGAGAATATTAAAAAACCACCACATAATACTCACCTGCACCAACAATGGCACACAATTGTCCACGCGGGATTGAGAAGTCAATATCGGTCAACTTGAATATTTTCTCTTCGTCATCGTTGTTTTCATCTGCTGTGGGAGCAGGGGTTTTGCTTTCCCCCTCCAGGTTAAAACCTTTAGGCTGTCCTCGTTCTCCAGGCTTGGGAGAGCTGTCCCAGGAAAAGCTAGCGCCTTGTACTCTGATAGCAACGTCCAAGTCGTTATCGATTACCACAGTCTCATCCAACATTTCAGCCTCGAAGACGCCCCGAAGACGGATGACAGCATTATGGGCGTCAGTGATGGTACTCAACGACATTGCTAGAAAGAAAGCACGTAAAACTTTGCACCAGGGAAGAGGACTGGAATACTCACGTAGAAACATCAATGGTATCATAATCAGCTGAAACAGCGCGAGCGAAGAAAAAATGATAGCTGCATTAAGTGTATGACCTGCCAACGAGTAGGTAATAAATGCCACGACAGAGGACAGGACAGGCAACGACATAGCCATGGCACTCAGTCCTGCTCGATAAGTAGGGACCGGATGTACCTGGACAGCCATGTTATCAGTTTTGTGGAATAGAAAATCCAATCTAAATGAATAAACGCACCCCATTTCTTCTCGTCGGAAGGAAGATACACGTTTGAGGAATGGGATCTCCCAAGCAAAGAATTTAATGACTTTGATACCACTTAACAGTTCTTGAAGAAGCTTCGAACGTTTATCAGTCCATTGCATACTGCTTCGTCTCAACGTGAATAACCGAGTCATGAAGATACTCTGCAAAGGAGTAACCACAACGAACACCGCAAAGCCAGCCAGTGCACTAGGACCCAGGTTCACGAGCAATAATATGAGGCAAATAACAAGTTGGATGGGTGCACTCCAGGACATGTGAAAATAGCCGAGGCAGAAGTCAATTCGAGACACATCTGTAGAGATATGGTTCACAAGTTTCCCATTGCTGAGGGTGGAACGAGCTCGACCAGATAGACGAAGGGACCGCGAGTAGATAGCTGCAATGAGCCCTCCGCGAACTAAAACCCCGCTTGACATGCTGCGATAGTAAAAGTGATGGGTACACCACGAGTTGACAACTTGCAAAGCCAGGAGAACGAATGACAAGCCGATACCCACTCCGATAGAGGGCACCGGTGCGCCAGTAAAGTGACTGACATAGGACTCTGTGGCAAAAATAACGATAGCCTGTCAAGAGCCAGTTTAATGTGTCTGGTCGATCACATGGTATTTGAGATACTTGCCTTAACAACAAGCGGGCTTGTCACTTGTGCAGTATCTCCCATAACTTTTAGGATTCCAGCTGACCAAAACCACCACTTGATACTGTCATTGATTGCTAAAACTAGGCTTGCTTGACGCTTGCCATCGTTTTCCCTCCACTGTCTTTCCCGTTCCACTCGGTTGCCTGTCGCTGACCACCATAAACCTTTCAAGCCAGGACCTATGTCTCCGCGGGTAAGCCGTACGTTGTACTCGTCAGCCCTTTTACATCGCTCGTCGAACGATGCTAGTATCTTGTCTGCTATTTGAGCTGCCGTACGCTCATGTGGAAGCTTGTACAAATCAGTGGCCTCGAGAGGTCGCATGTGACCCAAAGACAGCAAAGGCGTCATCCACCCAAACCAAAGAAGACTCAGCCATGAAGCCGACACTTCAGGTGTGATATCTGCTTCGTCAAGTGAAGATTTTGGGGGGGGTGGGTCTTTGCTTACGCATAAGGAGGAAATGAGCGACATGGATTCAGAAAATAGCGACAGATATGATTGTCTGTAAAGACAAGTGGGTGTATGAGACAAACGTTGGTGTCCACAACCCTTAGGGTCCTTATAAGTGCACTCATCACAGACACTAGCTAAACCGAATAGATGGTATTCGGTCGCGGTCGCGGTGATGAAGACACGACCTGAGCTGTAAAACGTAACTTATTAGCTATAGTAGCATGGTAAGATCCCCCATTGGTGGAAATAGCCGCTAAGTATAATCGCTCCAGGGCACTGGCATCACAGCTGTACAGTACTTCCAATCTGTATTAATAGCCATTGTGAGACACTGCACTTTGAGGACTAAAAAAACTGAGGGATTATGGCGTGAAAATTCCAAATAATACCAGAATAATGTCAAAAAAACCTTGCAGTATTATTACAGTTTTAATTTTAATAATACCAAAATAATTCCTGGACCCGTAGGTTCCAGGTTTCCAAAGCACAAATGTCCGCTGCATTTTCCAAGGACCTTTTTCCTGGCCCAGAAGGTAAGGCAAAATAAATCCTGCCCTCGAGAAATTTGACGGTTCAGTTGTGGCGTGAGAATGTTAGCGCAATTGTACATCGCTTTCGGGTCCTCTGGCTCACAGCCATTTCTCTACCAATTGTCATCATGATTTCCCATTGCGCTGCGTCTTCCTCGTCAGCGGCGTCTTTTCAAGTGGGCATGTGAGAATTATGTGAGAACCAATACAAATGTGTGTTGAAGTGGCAGCTGAATCTTTGCCAACAGTATCTGTCGAAGATGGGTTTCACCTGGCCCCTAATATTCTGACTGTGAATAATGCTCTTTTTTTGTCTTTGCGTGACTGATTTAATGTTTAACTCTTCCTTGTTGTGATTTGCAATTTGTGATAAGAATCTGTTCCTTACGTGTCTTCTAATGAACTCACGGCAGGGGATGGTACTTCATTTGTGTCTAGTGAATGTTTGCGCAAGAGATTTGACTTCTATTCTATGTACGAGAAAATAATTGATTTGAGACGCATGTATCCACAAGGGGATTATCTTGTAGTTAGTACTGCGTCTTTGTGCACTCTTGTTGAAGATTTCGAGTTCTTTTCTATCGCTGATTTGTGTTCAATTGCAGAGGTTCATGGTATTGCTATTGGATTGTGTTGTAAAAAGCTATGGATTCGTGATTGCCTCCGTACCCATGTGTGTAACCCTTATTGCTCGTGTTTATTGTACTTGTTTAAGCATGTTTGTTGTCAGAGAATTTTATCTGGCAAGAGCATTTTGCCTTGTCCTTTCGATGATGTAGCGGATGTCAGAAACACGCTTCATCGCAGGCGTGAGAGACAGACAGCAAGAAGGAACGCTGAACCTGCAGTGGTTTTGGTTAGCATGGAATCACCTGTCAAATTGCCTGTTAAATTTCCTGTGAAGCGTACTATGTCTGAGAAGAAGGCATTAGTAGAGGAATGGCAAGATTGTATGAGTGTAAGTGTAACAACCAAGATTCACTCTGGCGCACACAGGAACAACACTATAAGGAAGATGATGAGGGAGTGGTTACCCCTTAGAATTCAGAGAGTTAGTTGGTATACAACAGGAGGACTCGCTGAGGAGTCTCCTGGATCTATTGGAGTTTATATACTACTACAGAGTTGTTTGTACATGTGTACTATACAGTTGATAGAGACAGTGGCTGATGATGTCATGGGGCCTAGCCCGCATGGCCAG